ATAGGATTGTGGTATGATCAATAGTTAACGATTGAGATTAAACCTAACATGTTTGACATATGATGTAACCGCGCTCAGTTGAGGCCCCTTTGGGGTTACTGATGGCGTATGAGTAGTCGTACGTTCATTAATTTTTCTAGATCTGGGAGTCCGTGACACTGAGAGACCTTTTAGTTACCCACTTATCCCACTTGGCCTTTTAGGACGTAGTGCGATGAATGTAAGGGAGTAATCTCGAATGGTTACTACGCGATATTACACTCAGACGAGTTTATCTTGAGAATATTTTTTATTCACATGAGTAGTCGTGTAAGTTGATAATATCCGAAAGATTTATCGATGACTCTGGGAACCTTGTCAGAACCCGTTGTACAGGTGTTTTACCCCTAGTACACACCCTTTAGTTAGTTTTTTTACCCCAAATCCATGAGTCATCTTGAACCTTTGATCCTTCTATGTGTGTTTTGCATCCTGTCTTGCATCGCATTGCATATCATTTGCATCTTTGTATGATCCATTGCATACCATTTGTTTTTCTAGCGATTCATTTCCAGTTGTCTCTATCTTCCAGTGTCACATGTTAGTCGTCACGCTGATTCCTCGACACTGATATATGACTAGAGCTAACTACATACGCAGAATGTCAAAGCAAGAGGTACACAATGCAGAGACCAGGATAGAAATCAACGATCTTAAATCAGACAGGACAACTCATCCTTGTTACTAATTAGTCACTAGGCCATGTTTCTTGTTGTTTGCACTTTCCTTATTTTGTGTTAGCTATTTGTATTCAAATTATGTTTGTACTTTCATAATTAATGAAATAAGCATTGCAACTTTTGATTCAATTCATTTTGTCCATTATTTGCATCTTTATGCTTTATCTTTTAAAATATGCACCTTTTGTTCAAACTTTTGACATGCAAATATTTGAGGGAGAATGATGAAAACGGTATACCCATAACTGCTGTCAGTATGCTTTCAATCAAACTTTGTTGACGATGTAAGGCATTGTTTAACTCCCAAACACTGGAGAAATAAGGAAGTTATTCCCTTGTCAACCCCTTCAAGCCTAGAAGTTGGAGTTTCTTTCCTTACAAAAACCCGCAATCTTAACCTTGGGATGGGTAGTTCTCAATTAACTTGGTTAGCCGTTCACACAAGACACCTTTCATATAAAGGTTGCACTCACAAGTTTTCCTTTGTAGACAGCAAGCAAGTTTCGAAGATGCCTTTCAAGTCAAAAGTCAATGATGGTTCACCGTAATCATTAAAGCCAGACAGTCACTTTCCTTCTCAACAAAAAGAGAAAAGAAAAATCAAAGAAAAGCCCGCTAAGCCAAAACCTATGAAGGAGACTTAGGAAAAACTGGGGCATCTCGCTAACTGTAATCTTCGCAAGAAACAGTTCAGGAAAAAGTTAGGGATAACCAAAGAGGAGATCTTTAAATCCTCATCACAAAAGTCCTCAATGACAAAAAACAACCAAATGTTATAGGGAAGTAGTGACTTCCTTTTCAAAGTTCCCTTGACTTCTGAACCATCATCATTATCATCAGTACAATTCCTACCTTTTAGGAACCTGAGTGCATAGTCTGAGTTAACTGAGCGTAGGACTGGAGATTATCACGGAGATTGGGTGGGAACGAATAAACTTTAAGCCTTTATCCTTTGTTTCTTAAACTATGAACCAGACCACGTTACAACCCTCAAAAGACTTAACTGAAGTAAGGTTATTTTGAAAGCATACTACATTAAGGTTGTGCAAACTGACTCCAAAAGATCTTTTTAGGTTATTTGTTTTGACATTACCACTTTTACTTTACTTTCCATTTTGAGTGTCTTGAACCGCCATGTTCTGACCAATTACTCATATGTTTTGCATCTTTCCAAAAACAATTTTTGTTTTAAAAATTGTATGAAATTTTCATTTACCATGTTTGTATGAACACTTTTGTTTGCAAACTGGCTTTCCTCTAAGAAATTTTTCAAACAGTTGAGAAACTTGGTCGGTGATCCTATCAGGGGCAAGTTCCTTTCACATCGTGTTAAGAATTAGTTCAAGGTTTGTTGCTCAGTACAAGTCTTTCTCAAGAATTGGTTTATACAAAAGATTTTTCAAGACTTAGGTTGGGGCAGGCTTTCCAAGCATACAGTAAAACAGTCATTTCCAGCATCAGACAAGCTGAAACAATTATCAGCTCACCTACAACAATCAGCTAATCTGGGGCAGTTTACTTGAAGAGTCCCCAAGCAGCTCTTCATCCTTCTTACAAGGATCATCAACTTGATATAATTTACCAGTGTGGCAGAGATGTGCTCAACAGTAGCATCTTTAATCCCCAAGCAGAATGGCAGTGATATCCATGTTAAGGAATCAGTCTTTCAGTCTTGTCTTCTCACCAAAAGAGACGAGTCATGTCGTCAGTGTCTGCATTTGCATTTGATCATATATCATCTGCATAATTCATATACATATGTATATCATGAGTTTTTCATTCTCATTTGCATTCTCCATAGGTCGTGTTGTTATCAACGTCTCACCATGTGGTCAAAGTCCAACTTACTTGGCATCTACCAAACAAATATTCTCTTTGTGTTATCTGAAGTTTTTCTAGATATTCTTTTGTGTTCTGACATATTCCCATGACTCTCTCTGTGTGTGATCTGATGTTTTTCCAGATGACCCTTTGTTTGTCTCTCTCTGATGTTTTTCCAGATTATGTCTTTTGTTCTGATGTTCTTCCAGAACTTATTTGATGTTTTTCCAAATGTTTCCTTCGATTCTGATGTTTTTCGAGAATCTCTCCGAGGTTTTATCGGATGTGTTTGTCTCTCTGATGTTTTTTTAGATTGGGTCTTTTGTTCTGATATTTTTCCAGAACCTATATGATGTTTTTACAGATATTCCTTTGTGATTCTGATGCTTTTCCAGAATTTCATTTCTTTTACCGTCTGATGTTTTTCCAGATATTTCTTTGTGATTCTAATGTTTTCCAAACGCTGAACAAAGCTAGACAAAACAGAATATGGACTCTCGATAAAGAGACTATGGACTATGGAATTCATCAGACTCTAGACACTAGACTTCATTATACTATAGACTATAGACTATGAACTAAACCAGACTCTCAACTCTGGACACCATCATATTTTGAATCAAGGTTTAAATACAAATAACTACTGAACTGATAGTCAACTATGGATAATAAAGTCAACGCTTCTGAAGCAAATAATCTAGACTTACTTTGATATTTTCAAGCCTCATGCTCACTAGACTCTAAAGTCTATCTTCAAGGCTCTGAACCCTGATCAAGCTTCAAAAAATCTCATATACAAAGCTAATGATTGACATAACAATTATTGAAAGAGTATTCCTGGTAATTGTATATATAAGAGACAAAATCAAATCTTTCATTAAAAGACGAATATGCCTGAATTATTAAGGAATGTACCACCATTGGTATTCCATGTTTTACGGCTCAACCTCGTACCACTATTACAGTTGTAAAATTGAAGATGTTTCCAATTCTATCATTCAACTATTCATCATTCATATAAAAAGGACAAAGGAATTATGAAAATAAAAACACAACAAATAAGTTAAATACAACAATGAAAAGAAAAGAACAACACTCACTACACTTAGCTTTTCATTTGTATATTTTCTTAAGTGTAAACTCTGAATTTCATTTTGTGTATGTGTTTGTTAAGAAGCATTCTTTTAAACACATGTCTTTGTATTGTAACTTTGAGTTATTTCTTGGGGGACTTAGTTTAGTCTGTAGTCTAAAGAAGTTATTGACAACTAGTCTTTGAGTTTTTCCTTGAGGGACCAAGTTTAGGCAGTAGCCTTGAGAAGTCATTAGCACTTCGTCTTTGAGTTTGTAATCTAATTGATTAATGGATTAAGTCTTTGTGAGATTGCGAAAACACTTTGGCGAGTGGGTTGGACTTACCTAGTTAACGGTGAGCCAATATAAAAATTATTGTGTATTTTTATCTTTGTTGTTCGTGTCATTAGTTTGTGATTGGTTTGATAAAAGGTTGTTATATCTGAAATCTAATTCAAACACCCCCTAGTTTTTGTGTTTCTTGTACCTTCAAAATCGCCAGTTACTTTGAATTAATCACTAATACGTTATTGTAATTCACCATGCCATAATCTGAAGGCAACGTGATCAGCAGAGCCAATCAATAATGTAAGGTTAGAGGGGCATCCATGGAACCCCTCATATATAGGAATATCATGATCTTCATCTATATCATAACATTTACATCAGACATTTTGGAAAAAAAAACTAGTATTCAATTACAAAATTATGTCGAATTTATAGAAAAATGCCATAAAAACTATATTTTTTTATACCAATCTTAAAAAAAAAACAGTAAAATGCATAAAAAATACAGATATTTCTTAATAAAAGCAAAAAATTCGGTAAAAACATAAATATTTTAAAAAGACACATGCTTACTTAGTTCCTGGTAAATATTGGTTCAAGTCCTTGAAAAATCCGAAATGATACAATATGTTTCGAAAATTCTAAAATGTTCAATTTTTGTTTTACAATTTCATTTTTTTTATCAAAAGGGTATTTTGGTCAAATTATCCAATGTGTATGGTGCTGCATAGAAAGTGAGGGGTGTTTGATATAAAGCTCTATTTGTTCATGTTGTATTTTAATTTGGGCCAACCGTTAAAGATGAGACCCAAAATGAGATTGAAATCTTGTGACCCAAGACATCCTTATTTGCTTCATTAGTGACAAATCCTAAAGAAAAAAAGATTGTGTTTGTTGAGCCTTCTAGATTTGTTTCGTCCCACACAACGGTCACAAAAAAGTTTGTCGCCAAGAGCTTGTATAAATAAGCATTCCCGCTATCACTAACATTCATTCTCTCTCTCCCGATCTTTTTCTTCAACACTTTCTTTACAATCAATTCTATATCGATCTTTCGTTCTACAATTCTGTGAATTTGTGTTGTTTGCTGTAACAAGAATGACGATACCACTTTCAATTGTTGATGATGTTGCTATCTTTGATTTACGTCAACAACATCATCGCCACAACATGTTACCTGTGTATGTTCTCTTTGATTCTCGTACCATGTCTCACAACCACCCAGCAAGAACCCCACCTTGGTCTGTCATAGATCAAGCTCGTATCGCCCACATGTTTCACAACCACAACAATGTTTTATCAAGGTTAACTTCAGGTACCGTGTCTGTGGTAGATGAAACTGTTCTCTATGATTCTGCTATGGGCAATGTTCCAAGAAGATCAAGGGTTCATCCAAGACGGTCCATGAATCATCAAACGGGTCATCGACACCACCACCACAGTGGAACTAGAGCTTCTCCACCTGTGATCCGTGTTCAAAATACTAGACCTTCTCCTGTGGTGATCCGTACTCAAGATGCTTCTCAACATCTTGCAACATCCACAACAGATGCAGAATCCATCTGTTGCATTTGTCTTGTTCACTTGTCAAGTGGTTCTTCCACGCCAATTCGGCTGCGCTGCTCTCATGTTTTTCATAGTGACTGCATTCAAAAATGGAATAACATTAAGAAAACTTGTCCACTCTGTCGCGCCAATGTGTAATTTTCATACATTGACACTACTACTTTTTTGTCACTTATTAATGTTTCTTTTCTTTAGTGACTTTCCATGTTTAGGTTTGATTAACTAGTATTACCACACATTCTTCAAAAATGGAGTTTTGTTCTACATAAAACATACATGTGCTCTGTCTTTGTGTGCAAACCTGTTCTTTTGTCTATCTTTTCCTTATTCCGTTCTGTCCTTGAAATCATCCAGTTTCTAGGTCATTCAGAACCATACTTGATTGTAATACTGAATTCCTTTCTATTGATCTAGAAGAGTTAATGCAAAGATTTGGTGGTATTTCCTAATGGTGGTATTACAAGCTTTCTAGACTTCCTAAAGAAATTGGAAAATGGGAGAATTTAGAACTTCTAAGGCTGAGTTCCTGCACTGATTTGGAAGTGGGAGTAGCGTTATATCAAAGACTTCCACAAATCATAGTGATGGAGGCACAATTTGGGCAGAGAAAACTATAATTGAATGTGTATTAAACTAGAGTAGATACAGGGTATTGGGTATTCTAGTAGTCTTAGCTTTTGACTATTTGTATACACATAAATGTGTCTTTTTTATGATATGATTATGTAATACAAATTCTTTGATTTTAGATCTATGACATATGATTATGCAAAATTCATGATATGCATGTTGTGTTGTTTTTTTTAATAAAACTTAATTTATTTTTTACACATGCGGCAGTTAAGTGGTAATTCTACTTTTTTTTACACATTTAATATTCAATTAATAAAATCTATTTTATAATATCAAAATTAAATGTGAAATTAAATCAAAAATCAAATCCTTATTAATGTTTTTGAATCAACAGATCAAATAAAGAATTGAAAGGATCAGTGATCTGATTTAATTGTTGAATCAAATAAACTATTGAATTAATGAAAATCAGTCAAAACCGTCGATTTTAAAAAACTGACGGGTTAAATGTTTGATTTTTTTCTTCGCACAAAACGATGTTGTTTTTTCCTTCTGTTTCATATTCCTAGGTACAAATTTATATCCTTACAACCTTAAAATAATTAGCCGTCTTTAGGAGAATAAACTTTCCCGTCTCAATCTTTACATTTTCTTCCATAATCATGATACATATATACATATTCCTTATAAGAAATTTTTATTCAAGATTCAAAATTTTCTCCTTATAAACCTTCAGAATTCCATTCGACTACATGTAAGTACATAACATTTCATGATTTTGTATTATCTTCACAATTTGGGATTTATTTTCCGAACTTCATCCTTCTTTTGCTGTATCAGTATACGCTTTTCCTAAATTCTACATTTAAGGAATAAATTTGCAAATAAAAAATTATATCGTTTATTTTATACATCTAACAATCTATTATGTTATCAAGTTAGAACTTTCAATTGGTGATTTTTTCTCTAATTTTTCTTTACTACTGTTATTCTTCTCTATCAAAATTACCAAATCGCTTCATCCTATCCTTTGTAGCAAGATTACCATGGCAAGTGAGCCAAAGATAAATGAGAGCTCTAGGCTTGCTTGATTAAACTTGATGAGATTCCTCAAATTCACTCTCTCATTGTCTTCATTGAGCACTGCATAGAATAGTTTAGATTTAAATTTCTTTTGACGTATTGCTCTATCCCAAACTAGCTGCAAGATATCCAAACTATCTCTCTGGTTCATTATGCTTTTGAATAACCACGAATTATAAACCTTGGTCTTATACTCCATTACATCAGAATTTTTTAAGTAATATTGGTGCAACCAATTCACCTTCCTATTATCTAATTTCCTACAAAGATTCCAAAGACATTTCAGCAACCAAACCTTGCTCCAGACAGCTAGATTCATGATCTACAACCCACCCTGGTTCTTGGACTTACACACTTTCTTCCAAGCAACAGGAATTTTTCTGCCGATCTTCTTCTTACCTGTCCAAATAAAATTTCTACAAATAGCATCTATCTTCTTGATCACCATTTTAGGGAAGAGGAAGCATTGCATTCAGTATTGGACAATAGCACTAGTAACATTCTTCACCAATTGCATTCTACCTGCATAGCTTAACAGCTTAGAAGACCAATGATGAATTTGTCCCACAATTCTGTCTACCAATGACATGTAATGATTTATGTTTAGCTTTTTACTGGACAAAAGGACACTCAAATATTTAATGGTCAAAGAACCCTCTTGAAAACCTATCATGTTTAATGGTCAAAGAACCCTCTTGAAAACCTATCATGTTTAATGGTCAAAGAACCCTCTTGAAAACCTATCATGTTTAATGGTCAAAGAACCCTCTTGAAAACCTATCATGTTTAATGGTCAAAGAACCCTCTTGAAAACCTATCATGTTCTTGATACTCTCCTGATACTGGTGTAATGTAGACGATTGAAAAAAATAATAAGACTTACAAATGATATGCAAATGATATGTAACAGTAGTTTGTCGATGTTAGAATATTTTTTTTAATTAGAACAATATCTATTTTATTTTAATCAACCATTATCTTTTTTTGAGAGACAACATTTTTATTTTCAAGCAAAATCTTTATTTTCAAACATTATAATTTCTCTTTCTTTTTTTCGACATCTCACATGTCACTATAGTTATTTAATACAATTGAGTCTATTTGATAATTGTTCATAATTTACTTTGTAACTAAATAAATTATTTTATATTTATAATTGTATCTAAATACATTTTATTATAATTTTATGTCAAATATCCTATTACAATTATATAAATTAGTTATATATTAAATAAATTAACTTATTTAATAATTATATATTTTTATTTAAATTATATAACATTTTGCGACACATGCGAAAGCACAGGTCTATTACTAGTTTTTAATTAAAAATTTAGTTTATTTTTTACACATGTGACAGTTAAGTGGTAATTCTATTTCACTGTAGTATAATTTTTTTTATACATTTGATTTTCAATTAGTAAAATCAATTTTATAATATTGAAATTAAAAGTGAATTAAAATAAGAATAGAGTAAAAATAAAATTCTCATTAATATTTCTGAATCAGTTGGTCGAATAAAGAATTAAAAGGATTATCATCTGATCTAATTGTTGGATTAAATAAAATATTGATATAATAAAAATCAGTCAAAACTGTTGAAAATCAACTATTTTAGAAAACTGACGAATTAAATGTTTGATTTTTTTTTTCCGCACAAAACGACGTCATTTTGATAATTTAAAAAATAAAATAAAATATAAATATAAATAAATTTTTTTCAAAATTTTTTTTAATAGCTTTCTCTCATAGACTTTAAATTTACTATACACGACAGGTATTTTGCAATTAAGTTTTGTTCAAAATATATTTGAATTTGTATTTTATACTATTTTGTTGTGTGTAACGAATATGGTTAGAATTAGAATTTTAAAAATGAAGTTTTGAAATTATGATATTTTCAAATTTTGTAGGTGTGGTATTTTTAAGGGACCAAGTCATCCGGTTCGAGCGATTAAACAACTATATAATTTTTTTATAAAGACCTATTTATTCCACGAGTTATTTGGTTTAATTCGATTTAGTCAAACGATTTGACTGTGATCCAGTAGTTCATAAAATGAATCAGTGACTCATATCCTGATTAGTTTAATGACTGGTACGACTTTTAAAACATTATCGTCACAATAAGAAATTCATCGGGCTCATAAAAATTCACTAAACCCTAATTTTGCTGATTAATAAAAAATATTAAATGGGTCAATATTTTATTTCTATATATTCTTAATTCGTCTTTTATTTTATTTTTTAGTTCAATTCAAATAAATAAATATACAATTGAAGAATTGAATTTCGTTCTCACTTGAACAATATGCTTTTAGTTCTTGTTAAAAAACATATTTAAATGCATATTTTATTGGGTTAATACTTGTTCTCCCCCCGCCATATAGACACTTTTTGAAAAACTTCTCTGTAAAAAATAAGTTGCATGAATTCCCCTAACATTTAAAAAATATCTCTTTTTAAACCTCTGTTAGGCCAATTCATCAAAAATGACGACGTGACAACGTCTTTTATTTTATTTTTTTATTTTAATTATATTTCACATGTGTTAAATGAAAGGTAACATGACAAAAATACCCTTCACTGTTCTCTTCCTTGGATCTCCAATCCTTTTTCTCCCTTCTATCTTCTCCTTCTTATTGTTGTTTTCTCCCTCCTGCTATTTCAAATGTCAACCACCTTGAAACTATGACACAACCATGTGAAGCATCATTCCCATCTTCCAAACAAAAAATGAGTTTTAGACAAAAACGAACTCACCTCATTGAACCTCCTTCATACCCATACTCATCTGTAACTCCCTACCACACAACCACATTGCCTCCTTCAAACTTTATCACCAGAACCAACCTTCCAAACAACCACAAAAAACAAGTCTGAAGCGAAAGTGAAAAACAAAAAGAAGAGAAAAGTTGGATCAAAAAGGCCTCCAGATTTGGTTCCACGTACATAGATTCGCTACAGCCAACGCTGGAATTTCTGTTTGTGTTCACCTCTTATTTGCAGAATTTCTCCTATACCTCTCTAAACCTCCCTGTCACTACAACTCCCTCATCAACAAACTGTTGTTGCATGAAATCATCCACAACTGCCACGAAATATCTTCAACAACCATCGTTGCACCATCTCACCTTATTCTCTTCTCCAAAACCAAAATCACCTCCACCATATACCCACGATCCATTTAACAAACTACAACACCACCATTTTACCTTAGATCCACACACACTTTTCAAAAAAAGCCTATATGGTAGGGGGAGAATAGAGATTAACCTTAGTTTATTTAGGCTTAAATAGTTTTTGGTTCTTATAAGTTGTTGAGTTTTTGGTTTTGCTCCCTAATTTTTTTTAAGTTACTAAATTTTACTTTCTTGTCCGTGTTAGTCTCTAATGATAAAGTTCTATTAAAAAAACATAGGTGGCTGAAAATGCTAAGTTGACTTTTGTTTTTAAATTTTTTTGATGACACATAATCTTAC